CCCCCCCCCCCCAGCAGATTGTGACAGAGCAGGTATACAGGCAGGCTCGCTGGCAGACGTGCCATATTACAACTTGACTGGGGAAAGCTCCAGGAGGAGTTTAAAGATCGATTATGCGCTCTATAAAGTTACAGGTCTCAAATGATATCTTTTACAATACTGTACTATCAGCTCAAATACCATGTTTAGCCAGACACTCCCTTTAACATTTAACTATCTTGCTGGTTCTCTGCTTGGTTCTAACCTATATTATCTAGTTGGTTCCCTGCTTGGTTCTAACTATCTTCACTGGGGTTCTCATCAGGGCCTTGTATCAGGTACTTAACGAGGTGCGGATATAAATAACAGATGGATCGTTTCCACTTTTTTAAAAAACGATCGTTTCGTATTAAAAATGACGAAGAAGAAACGAAACGATCGTTTCTAAAACGAACGAATTATAAAAAACTATCGTTTTAAAAAACGACCCTTCGTTAGCGACCGTATTTTGAATAAAATAATCAAAAAGTTCGTTACTAACAAGATTCACGTTGTATAATTAGTTTTAAGTGATATATGACAAATATTAAATATTAAAATAGTTTTGATTAATATCTTTTGTCAAAATTGTGATGAATTCATACTTGAAAGAAATAAAAATATGAAATATGATATGAAATCATGAAAACCTGCAAACTAATAGATTTTTAAAATATTTACTAGAAAAAAAATTTGAAAAAAACTTGTTAGAAAAGTCGTCTTGATTGTAGAGATATAAACGCCGAACAGTGTGTCTAAAGAGGCCAAGACAATGTGTAGGAAAAGTGTTTAATCTATTTGTGCATTTTATACAAATACTTTTATTTATAATGTTAATTGAACCTAATGCATTATTGAATTATAGAAACTAGCAAGATATTTTGATCATTCAGCAAGTATAATTTTAAATATTTAATATCACTGACCTTAAATTCTACGGAAAACTTGCTGCCACTATAATTTTGTCTAAGCTTTTTATTTATTTATGAGAAACATGAATATGACAGAAACCTGAAAGATACAAGGATACAGGGATACCCACAATGATTGAGACTTCAGAGACGACTGTATGGAATTTATACTGTCTGTTTTCACATATCTGAGTCTTCGGAACTGTTAACTTGTTTTTTTTTGTCAAATCATTTAATAACCCATTAAGGGGTTATATTCAAGACACAAAACTTTGGGGTCATCATATTTCAATAGCTATATGTCGTCATTACAGTCTCGTTCTTAGTGGGTAACCCCGTATATAGTTCAACAAAAATAAACTAATTTCACCCTAAAAACAAAAAAATATAAAATCTATAATAAAAACCTTGAATCAATAAACTATTTCATAATTCAAGGCTGAAGAGCACTCTAAGAGAATGAAGAACGGGAATACTGAAAACAAGGTAAAGTTCATTCGTATTCTTATTCAACTACAAAAGAACGAGATAATACAAATAAAAAATTACAAATTTACAATGAAGTTTGGACCCGCCTAACCAGAGTACGTTGCTTTAATTGGTTGGCCCATTATAAGAGAATTGTAAATAAATACATGGTTGTAAATTGTACAGTGTACATTTAAACATAACAATGATGATAAATCAGGAAAAAGTTAAGGAGGTGGTGAAGAAGTATACGGGAAAGGGAGTGTACGCAGCGGGATAATTCTTTTTTAAATCTTATACAAAATTTTTAAAAACTCTTCATATGATAGTTTGACATGTTTGAATCTGTTTAGTTTTATTTGGGGTTTCTATGAAACAATTGAGAAATTATTAGAATTAAATCATTTTATCTTCCTCATTATTGAACCAGGGTATCATTGTGCAAATTTCAATAAAAAGATACACTTGTCAAATCAAAGAGGAGATTGGGGTAGAAACTGTTGTTATCTAGATTCATACAAAATCTTCCACCTGAGGGGTTTAGCTTAAATCGTAGTTTTATAGGGACTGTAAGCGTAATTTCAAGTGACCGGACCCTCCACCAATTCCATGCAAAGATGACTATGCTTGTTTTACAACGGTATCCTTGAAACCTTAATCTGACCTTGAAAATCGGGCAGTGCCATCTTTGATTATGAAGGGTCACTTGAAAATACGCTTACAGTCCATTTAAAACTACGATTTAAGCTAAACCCTTTAGGTGGAAGATTTACAGTTCTTTTAATTCATTTTTAATTCAGTTCTAGACATCTTTTCATTTGTCAAAATTGAAAGTCCTTTTATTTTTAAATAAACCTATGAGAATTTGACAATCAAATTCCACAAATTTAATTATTCAATTTCTTGGATTTAAAAGTTTTCGTTGTAAGATGAAAGTAGAGGAAGAAAATATTGAAAATCTGCATTTTGATTTGATTTGATTTGATTACATTTTGATGGATCAAACAATTTAAACTATTCTTCTATATTATAATATATATAAAATATAATATTATATGTAGATAATAGATAGATCGAACAAATCAAATTGTCAAAAATGGTTCTAATAAAAGACTTTGACCATAGAAGAAATATGTAGAGAGTTTTTAAAAAAGGCGATAAGCTGAATTTTACGTCTATCAGTACCCTGTATCTTTTGCGAAAAATTTCTTGAAAGGCTTGACTTAAAAATACAAAAATTGTATTAGGTTTTTGAACAGACTTCAATTGCAGTGATTTCAAAAGATGTACAAATTTAGGAGGCTTTAATGTTTAAGATGTGTTTCTTCATTTGTCAGTGGGTTGTTAAGCTAACCCCAAAGGCCCTGGGGGATAGTTTACTGATTAAGGATAGTAACAGATTGTGGCCTATGCATGCAGTACAGACATCAAATATGCATTACGCTTTCAGAGTACAAGTGTATTGGGAGGTTTTGTATCTTGAATTTTACTCAATTTCTCAGAACAGTTTATTAAAGATGAAATATTGCTCTGTAAAAGACTGTAATAGTACATCTTCCTTTGAAAATGGAATCCTGCATACGATAAAGGAGTAGTGGATTTTAATAGTTACATGGAAAACAAATCTCCATCTAAAAATTTCCAGAAATACTGTAATATACAGATTGACCATTGAAAGTGAAGTACATGGCCTATACAATTGGTAAAGGATTAACGTACATCATCACTCTATACACTATAACCTCGTTGCAAAGGCCCCTGTTTGCAGTACACCCATGCATAGAATATGATCAAAGAATGTTTATCCTGATAAGCTTTAAAACTTTTTCAAATCTTCCTAATAGCAAGCATTCTATCTTCAGCATAATTCTATTAAAGTTTTAGAGCCATAACACATATTTTTTCAAAAGGGACTGTTTACTAGTTTAGAATTGTATTTAGAAAGCAAATTATTTTAGTCAATTATCAGTTTTATGTTTACTTATGTAGGAAAAATTTTGCGATTAGAATTTAAATAGTAATTTGTTTTTCTCAATGATTTGTAAATCATTCAAATGTGTTTAAAATACCGAAAGTATTTAGCAATAAGATTGTTATTTTTAAAAACATTCAAACTAATGGTATCAAGGAAAGGAAAGAATAAGAATAAAATCAATGAAATTACCAATAAAAGCAATGAAGTGCTATATGTTAGAAAAATTGGATAAAAAACGCTTAAACTAAGAATAGATTAAGAATAAAAGCATTGAAAAGTCCAAAGTAAGAAAGATATGAATTAAAAGCTAAGATCAAGAACAAAATAAAAATCTTTCGTTTATTTTTATATGGTATTTTGTGTGTAAAAAGTACAGTGTACTGTATAGGGTAACCATTGAAAGGTTAATAAAACCATCTTAATCCAATATTTTCTTCAATTTACTGATGGTACATGACTACAGGGTGATTCAATAAACATGAAAATTTGACAACTTTCAAATCGTCTTGGAATCACTCTGAATTAATTCTGTAGAGATTTCCCATTTGAGTTTACATAAATGCAATAATTACTGTAGAAATCCACCAGTACCAACACTGTACCAGACAACAAGGTCTCTAAGCGAAGGAAGCACACAAACAGAACAACAAGACTTCTCATCGTTATCCTCATTCTCTTCCTTCTCACAGAGTTCCCTCAGGTTAGTTTTATATATATTTATAAAATACATATGTACAATCCGTGTAGGACTTTACTGGTACTATTTGGTCTAGTAATATACAGTTTATGTATTTATATGGTATTTATTGTCTGGTCTAGTGTTATCATACAGTTTATGTATTTATATGGTATTTATTGTCTGGTCTAGTGTTATCATACAGTTTATGTATTTATATGGTATTTATTGTCTGGTCTAGTGTTATCATACAGTTTATGTATTTATTTTCTGGTCTAGTGTTATCATACAGTTTATGTATTTATTGGCTGGTCAAGTGTTATCATACAGTTTATACATTTATTGTCTGGTCTAGTGTTATCATACAGTTTATGTATTTATTGTCTGGTCTAGTGTTATCATACAGTTTATACATTTATTGGCTGGTCTAGTGTTATCATACAGTTTATACATTTATTGTCTGGTCTAGTGTTATCATACAGTTTAAACCTTGATAGTCTGGTCTTGTGTTATCATACAGTTTATACATTTATTGTCTGGTCTAGTGTTATCATACAGTTTATGTATTTATTGTCTGGTCTAGTGTTATCATACAGTTTATGTATTTATTGACTGGTCTAGTGTTATCATACAGTTTATGTATTTATTGTCTGGTCTAGTGTTATCATACAGTTTATACATTTATTGTCTGGTCTAGTGTTATCATACAGTTTATACATTTATTGTCTGGTCTAGTGTTATCATACAGTTTATACATTTATAGGCTGGTCTAGTGTTATCATACAGTTTATGTATTTATTGTCTGGTCTAGTGTTATCATACAGTTTATGTATTTATTGTCTGATCTAGTGTTATCATACAGTTTATGTATTTATTGTCTGGTCTAGTGTTATCATACAGTTTATGTATTTATTGTCTGGTCTAGTGTTATCATACAGTTTATGAATTTACAGAAACACTACTATTTCTAAAAATTGTAAAAAGTTTAAAGAAACAGATTTGACGAAAAACAGCATTTTAGCAAGAGGTAGAGAGCGATATGAATTTCTGTTAATACATAAATATACCGATGTATTTCCAAACTAATTAGAGCTTAGAGTATACTAGAGAAATAACTCCGCAGTTTAATGTATTTTTAACCCTTTATGTACACTGTATAGAGTGTCCCAATAAAAATTACAATTGAAAGAGGACCAAGTATGTTACTACAGTTTATTCCAGAACATTGGAGACATCAGAAGAATATAAAAAATGTCGTTTTGACATTTTTTAAATTGTTTTTTTTTTACTATTATACCTAAATCTAAATAATAAATAGCAATAAAATTTGCGGGAATAATATTAAATAATAGGTTTAGAAAACGACATTTTATAAATTCTGTCCATGTCTCCCAAGTTCTGGGTTGAACTGAACTTTGGTTGGAAAAAACATAATTAAAACTGCTCCAGAGAATGATTTAATTAAAATAAAGACCGGTGTTACCTGGTTTTCCTAAAATGTGGAAACAAAATGATAATCGATCGCTGTATATTGTAACGTTTATTGGGACACCCTGTACTATAACAAATACGAAATAAGATTTGGGAGAAAAAAAAATAACGGACACGCAATAAAGAAAACAGACAAACAGAGCGTTACTCACAATAATGAGGCTTTACATAAGATCTTATAATTTTAAAATACAATAAGCTCGGGGTTCAATTTGGAAATCTGCCTTCAACATAGTTAAAAAATTGTGATTTTTTATTCGGCTTTAATGTTTTTGGTTTCAAGGTATTCTGTTGATGACAGCTGTGTTGATTACAGCTGTGTTGCTTTAATGTTTTATGTTGCAGGGTATTCTGTTGATGACAGCTGTGTTTAATGTTTTATGTTGCAAGGGTAGTCTGTTGATTACAGCTGTGTTGATGACAGCTGTGTTGCTTTAATATTTTATGTTGCAGGGTATTCTGTTGATGACAGCTGTATTGATGACAGCTGTGATGATGACAGCTGCTTTAATGTTTTATGTTGCAGGGTATTCTGTTGATGACAGCTGTGTTGTTGACAGCTGCTTCAATGTTTTATGTTTCAGTGTATTCTGTTGATGACAGCTGTGCTGATGACAGCTGTGTTTAATGTTTTATGTTGTAGGGTATTCTGTTAATGACAGCTGTGTTTGCTGAAGAATTCTTCGTTGATTGCTATACACCGGTAAAATATATATTTATATATATAAACAAAGAAAATATAAATACCCTGTTTATATTTTATAATATTTTTTAATTAATTTGTTTTGAATTTGATTATTTCTCTTGCGGCTTGCGCAACCATCTAAGAATGCCGCGGACCACTCATATTTTTCGAAATCAGTTAAAACGTTTTCTAAAAAAAATAAAATATTATAAAATATAAACTATATACAAATGTGGCGAAAGATAATCGATGACTATAGGTTGTACTATCTGAATGATTTGTTTGAAATTAAATGGATTTTTTACGGTCTAAGTTGTATGTTGCAATTTTCTGAATTTGTATGGGCGCTAAGTTATTCGGTATGAGACGTCTTTAACAAGTTTTTCCTTATAGACGCAACAGATAGAAGTAAGATTAGTAGCGAACAAAAGCGCTTTTTTAACGAATTAAGCCTATATCGCCTTTCATTTTTCGCGAACACTCCCTTTAATATCCAAAACACAAACTTTTAAATTGAGGGGTTAACTCTTTAAATCAGCAAACATCAATGTCATCTATCGCTGAGTCACAGGTTTAAAATTCAAAAGTTTCGCTTACTCAGGAACATTAAATGATTCAGGGGATTTACTCAAATTCTTTTAAATATTTTTTATAACTTCCCGACAAAATGTTTGTATTGTTATTGTTTTAAAAAGTATGAAAAAAAGCTCTCAGATATATGGATCAGGTAAAAAAAGCTCACAGATATATGGATCAGCGAAAAAAAGCTCACAGATATATGGATCAGCTAAAAAAAGCTCTCAGATATATGGATCAGCTAAAAAAGCTCACAGATATATGGATCAGCTAAAAAAAGCTCACAGATATATGGATCAGCTAAAAAAAGCTCACAGATATATGGATCAGCTAAAAAAGCTCACAGATATATGGATCAGCTAAAAAAAGCTCACAGATAGATGGATAAGCCAACAAAAAGCTCACAGATATATGGATCAGCTAAAAAAAGCTCACAGATATATGGATCAGCTAAAAAAGCTCACAGATATATGGCTCAGCTAAAAAAGCTCACAGATATATGGATCAGCTAAAAAAGCACACAGATATATGGATCAGCTAAAAAAATCTCACAGATATATGGATCAGCTAAAAAAAGCTCACAGATATATGGATCAGCTAAAAAAAGCTCACAGATATATGGATCAGCTTGAAAAAGATTAGCTTATTCCTTGAAAATGAAGCAAAAATTTTGTAGCGCTAAAGCCACAGATCTTGGATACAAAATTGTCGCCTATTGAATTTTCGAATCCCGATAATTTTGTAACCTGAAGGTTTAAACCTTGATATTTGACATTTTGATCTAACAGATATATACTTTAAAAAAAATTAAGTGTTACGACATCACGGGTTGCAAATATTAAAGGGATTGGAAAACTCTTTTTTTTTCATGTGTTTTTATTTTGTTTAATCTACATTGTGGAGTTTGCGAACAAAAATTGTGCTTTATTCATCAACTTTAATAAATAGAGTAAATATTCATCAATTTCCATTCATGAAGGTTCCATTAATCAATTCACCACAATGAATAGAGTTTTAATAGCCCATAGAAGTGTTGAGTAAAAAGAAATAATTTCAAGGATTTTCGACCATCCTCTCAACCCCACCTGCTCCCTTCTCATTCATACTCTTCCAATTCTTAAAGGGACAGACCCCCAATTTTCGATAGACATTAAGAATCTACAGTTGTTCCTAAATTATGTTGATTCTTTAAAACAACTTTTTAAAGTTTACAAGCTATTTAGTATTCTAATTATTACAAAATTGAGAACAAAAAAATATTAAAATTTTTAGTAAAATAAGACAAAATGAAAAAATGCTTTACCCGAATTCTAAAATATGTGATCACTCCCTTTAAGCATCTCATTCACGCGTATTATCCCTGTAATATGTTTCTTACCTTTTGTTGACATGTACCTTATAGAACGCACATTTTTTCAGCTTCAATTCACTGTAACCCTTCTATTTAAAACGGAAACTCGAAACAAAAACGACACTTTTTCTGAAAAGTTTTAGTAACGCCTGTATTTTGTTCTAGCTTGGTGAGATGATGGACATGATGGCTCTGTTAAACTGCTCGATCAACTTCGTTCTCTTCTGCATCATGTCAGTTCAGTTCAGGACAACCTTCAGGAAGGTTATTGGTTACCAGGAGTTCATGGCTAAACATTTCGGTAATTCTAACCAGGTGAGAGAACAGATCCTTTACAGGGCTTGTCATCGTAATTCTTATTATTATTCTGATCAATAATATGTCAGATATTGTCGTTTTCCTAGCTTGGAAGTGTTTAATTCTGTTAATTCCTCCAAAGTTTCTGAAGAAAGAAATGAGCGAGTCTCTTTTGCAAAGAAAAAAATCTGATTAACAAATGGGAATTTTTCTACTTGTTTACCTTGTCTCTCCTGAATGCAAAAGGAAAAAACTGAAGTGTGGTTGAAAATGTAATTTCTGAAAGTTGTCTGAAATTTGGATTTAACATTTCAAGATCGGTTCAGTTTAAGCTTTTCTTTACCCTTTTTCTTTTTGCCGAAAATTGAATTAATGTCACTTTCGACAGATCAACAAGATAGAAGAGAGAAATCATTTAATACATTTAAGACATTTATTTCATATTTTTCATCTCCTTAGAGCCCGCGATTTAAAAGCTTTGGCTCAAGTCTTAATTCCTAAGACTCATGTACAAGGCTCAACCTTATTTCTAACTTAGGAATCAGCTGACGACAGCTGTCAGCTCTGAGGCTCGATTTAAGGAGTTAGGCCCAATGAAAACAAAATCGACCTTGGTTTGGTTCTGAGGATAATTAGTCTCAATGCTGAGTCTTATTCTAATTAAAGTCCTCGAATCCGCCAATTCCAACCATGAAAATCCGTCAAAGACAAAATTAAACAGAGATGGGAACTTTTGAATGGGATATCCTTAATCCTGAGCTGAGCTGAAAACTTTTGAATGGGATATCCTTAATCCCGATCGGATAATTAATCTGGAGATTAAAAATGAGAGGAGAACAAGCAATATTTAATCTCGAGATTAAGAAAAAGAGTGGATTAAGCATTAATCCCAATATCCACCATTCTAAAGTTTTCAGCTCTGAAAACTTTAGAATGGTGGATATCGGGATTAATGCTTAATCCACTCTTTTTCTTAATCTCCAGATTAAATAAGGCTTGTTCTCCTCTTGTTATTAATCTCCAGATTAATTAACCGATCGGGATTAAGGATATTTCATTCTAAAGTTTTCAGCTCTGAGCTGAAAACTTTAGAAAACTTTAGATATCCTTAATCCCGATCTGTTAATTAATCTGGAGATTAAATTCATGAGGTTTATTAAACCCGACAGTTTCAGCTTAAATCCGATAGCTTGAGTCATGAAGGAATTGAGTTTTTGCCACAAACTTAGATTTTCTAATTATAATAACTTAGCAACCCGTTTTCCTAGACCTTTGATATTTCAAACTATTAATTCTGGTAGATCAAATAGTCTAAGTTTGAAATATCAAAGGTTTAAACCATCAGGTTGCAAAGATATAGGGGTTAATAAATTTAAGTTTGTTGCAAAAACTCAATTCCTTAGTCTCAATGACAGCTTAGACCTGAGTCTTATTTTCCCAAATTTTAAAATTGAGTAATCAGTTTAATTTTAAAAGTTTAAAATCAAAAGGATCCAAAATATGGGATTTAAAAGTTTCCTATCTAAGATTCTCATTCAAAGAAACTGAAAATTTTCCACAAACTCGATTTTTTAGTATGTTTAACGTTGCAGACATTTGATATTTCAAACTATGAAATCTGTTTAATCAAATCGTCAAAATTTGAACTTTAAAAGATTACCACCATCAGTTTGCAAAGATTTAGTGCCATGGAAATTAAAATTTGTGGCGAACAGTCATTTTATTTTTACTTTCAAAGTTTTATTCGACTTCCTCACTTCTTATAAAACAATTTCAAGGCTTATTGATCCTGACATTTTAAATTGTTTTATCCTGGAATATAATTCTAAATATTTTATTGTGGAATAAAGTTCTAAATATTTTATTTTGGAATATAATTCTAAATATTTATTGTGGAATATAATTCTGAATATTTTATTGTGAAATATAATTCTAAATATTTAATGTGGAATATAATTCTAAATATTTTACTGTGGAATATAATTCTAAATATTTTATTGTGAAATATAATTCTAAATATTTATTGTGGAATATAATTCTAAATATTTTATTGTGGAATATAATTCAAAATTTTTTATTGTGGAATATAATTCTAAATATTTAATTGTGGAATATATTTTATTGTGGAATATAATTCTAAATATTTTATTGTGGAATATAATTCTAAATATTTACTGTGGAATATAGTTCTAAATATTTTATTTTGGAATATAATTCTAAATATTTTACTGTGGAATATAATTCTAAATATTTTATTGGGGAATATAATCTTAAATTATATTTTTACTTTTAGAGAGCAGAACTAGAGGAAATTCCGCTTAATTCTCACAAGAACTAGAGGATATTCCGCTTAATTCTCACAAGAACTAGAGGATATTCCGCTTAATTCTCACAAGAACTAGAGGATATTCCGCTTAATTCTCACAAGAACTATAGGAAATTCCGCTTAATTCTCACAAAAATTAGAGGAATGAAAGAAATTCTCGACACAAAAAATGGAGGAATACACGAAATTCTCAAAAAAATTAGAGGAATACGAGAAATTCTCACAAGAATTAGAGGAATACAGAAAATTCTCACAAGAATTAGAGAAATACGCGAATGTCAGATAAATCCACATATTCTCAGAAGAATCCATGCATATTCTGAAAAGAATCCCCTATTTCACAGAAATCAATAAATTTTCAAAAGAAACCACAAATTCTCGAAAGAATCCAAAAACTCTTAGTAAAATCCACAAGTTCCCAGAAGATGGTTCAAATTCCCAGAAGAATCCATGAATTCTCAGAATAATCCAAAAACTCCCAAAAGAATCCATAAATTCTCAGAGAAATCTCTAAATTCTCAGAAGAATCCAGAAGTTCTCAGAAGAATCCAGAAGTTCTCAGAAAAATCCAATGACAGTAAAATTAGATGATTTCTAATTCTAAGAATTCTAAGATGTAGATAAATTCTCAAAAGAATTTAAAGATTCCTCTAAATTCTCTAGACAAAAAACATTCTCTAAATTGTTTAGAACATGAGAAAAGCCGTGTAGTTAGCTCAAATAAAAGAAAAAAGAAAAAAAGGACTGAAAATTTGTTTAATAATAAAATTTCAAAATATTAAAAATCGTACTTATTTATCAAAAAAATAAGGTTCAAGAAAGAAAATGAAGAGAATAAATTTTTATTTAAATAATTTAACCAAATGGTTTTTTCTTCAAAATGTTAACATCTAAAATATAATTTATTTTCATACAATTTGATAGGATTAAAATGAATAAATTCAGTAAATTACGGATTTTAGATAGAGGACTGTTCCATGTTTATGAGAATATTGTACAATTATTATATATCCATCTAATTGTCTATATTGTAATCTACGTGTGTAAACATATCCAAAATATGTATTAATTGTGAGAAACTTTAAATGAGAAAATGTTTAAAATGTTTAATTTCCTGTCAAAAAATGTCTGAACCCAAACCAAGGATAAATGTGAGTAAAAAGTACAAATGTTCTTAAATTAATCTTTGTAAAATTGTACATAAAAATGTTGTACTATACAGTTGTACAAATACAGCGGAGGGATGGAAACTTTAAACATCAAGACCAAAAAAATCACGAAACAGAGAACAAACATTTTCAAGTTTAAAAAAAACTGCAATTTAGAGACGGGTTTGAAACGCAGTTTTTTCCTAAAAATAGTTTTAAAAGTTTCCTTCTCTAAATCCTGATCTCTAGTCTCAAAACTGAGTAAAATTAAAAATAAATGTGATATGTTGTAGAACTATAAATATTAGTGTTCTCAAAATGTGTTTAATTATTAAATATTTATAAAAAATAATTATCAATTAAAACAGTTCTAATACGGACCGAATTTAATGAATTTAAGAGGTTACTGAGCCACCTACCGCCGGTTCAAATCCTGAATCACTGATTAACTCTCCAATTCATTACTTTAATCCTCATGAATCTCTAACGTTTTATCGGTGATTCCAGATTTGAACCAGCAACGGTATTTAGTGACTTCTGGCAACTCATAAGATCTGGTTCCAGAGAACATATTTTAAACACTTACAAACTTTCAAGTAGGTGGATTAATAAAACAATATTTTTGTATTTGTTCTTAAACAAATATTATTTTGCTTTCTATCCTTCAATTTCAAAATAATGACCGGTTTTTAATGAGGAATATGTCCAATATTGTAGAGCAGTACAATTTCTAGATAAACAAATAGTACAGTACAACTTTAGGGTTTAACTGTATGTATCACAACAAATTTATTTATAGAGAAAATGTCATCTATCTTCATTATAATTTTATTATTATCTATCTATTTTCTAGCAGGTTATTAATGATACAAAACATAATATATATAAATATATATTATGTATATTAACCATGTTTGCATAATTGAACTATTAGTGTTTGGCATGTTGCAGGCATAGAACATGATATATTATTCACATTTTTATCTTATTTTGCTCAAAAGAGTATTTACACAAAAAAATTAACATTTTTAAAATTGAAAATACACCTTTTAGGTACAAAAGATATTAGAGTTTTAATATAAGAATTTTTTAGAATGTTATTTTTCTGAAGTAAGAGTTTGTATTTTGTATGTTGTACAGTGTATTCTCGATCTGTTCGGAAAATCAACGTAATGGATTTGAGTCTTTGCCACAAATTCAGATTTTCTTTTCCCTATATCTTTGCAACCCAATGCCAAAGACCTAAGATATTTCAAACTTTTTGTGACAAAGACTCAATTCCTTTTGTAAAAATCCGCAAAACAAGAAATTTTGAAAAGCGCCAAAAACTCTGATTTTCTAATCACTATGTCTTTGGAACCAAATATTGCAGACCTTAGATAACTCAAACTATGAATTCTGTTAGATCAAATAATTTAAGTTTGAAATATCAAAGATTTAAAACATCTAGTTCTAAAGATATTGAGGTTAAACTATTTGATTTTGTTCCAAAGACTCAATTCCTTTATCTACGTTAGGCATATATATTTTGCTTTAGAATATGTCTTATTAAAAAACAAAAATAATTTTTTAAAACATTTTTATTCATTAACCCTTTATCGCATATTATAATTGCTGATATATATGTAGTTTAAACGGTAAAATGTTTAAAATCATCAATTTTTAAGTTTAAGATGTGGCAACATGTGCTTATATTCTTTTAGATTGTTAATTTTCAGAATCTCAGTATTTATTCCTGATACAATATTATTAAAATATGGAATTTTTAAATAATGTAGTTTTCTTTCTGCTCAATATCAGTTTAACAAGGACCATTAAAATTCTTAATGTGCATGTAAAACTTGTAGCGCACTATTTTCTTTAGATACCTATAAAATGATTTATGTAACAAATAAAAAAAAACTAATAGATTTTAAAATTAGATTTTAAAAATGTATCTAAAAAGTGTGTTGTATATATTTAATCATGTGTCAACTATTATTGTTCAATGTAAATAAACAAGATTTTATATAAATAATATTTTATTAATGAGGAATTCAGGACTGTTTGCGCCACCGTTAATCTTTTTTTTAAATTTGTTGTTGGTTCTTCATAAATTATTTAATTTGATTAGCAGTTATAAAGGAACTTTAAGAGTACATAGTTTCAAGTGACCCGATTATAAGTAGAAAATACTTATGGAGAAAATGCATATCATGCACAAATTGTTTTATTAAAAAATTACATTTATATTTGGAAAAGAAATACGGCATTAAATATCTGTAATTTATAATCCCTATATTTTTGCAACCTGATGTTTAAGACCTTTGATATTTTAAAATATGAATTCTGTTTCATCAAATAGTCTGAGTATGAAAGGTTTACACCATCAGGTTGCAAAAATATTGGGATTAGAAAATTTGAGTTTGTGGCAAATACTTCTCTTTTATATTCCAACCAAAACATTATCCAACCAAAACATTATCTAATAAGAATCTAAATTTCAATTTAGAATAGAAAATGTTTTTAAATGGATAATGAAATTCTATACTAAAGATATTAAAGAATAATATTTAAACATTTTTACATTCCAACCAAAATATAACCCACCCACACCACAGAGAGATGTACATTGCTTTTAAACAAATGATGAAACTATATATTAACGATATTAAAGAATAACATTTAAACATTTTTACAATTCAACCAAAATATAACCCACCCACACCTCATAGAGATGAAGATTGCTTTTAAACTAATGAAATTTTTGAGGGGAAAAAAAATTATGGACGAATGACCTGGATTGTTAAGAGAATTTCAAACGAAAAAAATAAGCGGTTTTAATGATCTTGCAAGAAGGAAAGTTTTTTTATGAACCATCGAATTTTTCAAAAGAGTCCAAAGTTCTGGGTAAAACTGTAAAAAAACGGGTTTCTTAAAATACTTAAATGGATTGCTATTTGCTAACAATATGGAGAAACAGATGGGACTAATTTCGGCCATTTTGCTGATTGAAATTGATGTAGAATTTCCCACGTTGCATTTTGAAAAAAGCTCCTGTGTATGTTGTAAATTTTCAGAAATAAGTAGTGGTTAGAGTTCGTTAGCTTTATTCGTTTTTCAAGGTTTTTAATGCATTTGAACTTTTAAAATGTTTTCAAAATTTTGCCAAGTTTCAGAAAATTTCAAAACTGTTTATTTTAAACATTTGTCTTTCTACACTTTGTTAAAATTTCAAACTGAGAAAGATATTCGCAAGAACTGACAAATAAATTTACCAACAAAAATATTGTTATTCTTTTTCATTTTTTTAGTTTTTATTCTTCCAAATTTTGTGAATATTTAAAGTAACGTAAAGTTTCTTTAGATACAGGGTGACCTAAAGTGGTTGAGACTTCAGAGACGACTGTAAAGAACTCATTCAGCTTTTTTTCAAAAAATCTTAATTCCGTCCTTGCAACTGTAAATTTTTTTTACAAAAAAAAACAAAACAAATTTTCTAAATTTTCTTGAGCTGAAAACTTTTAAATTGGATACCCTAAATACTAATTAAGATTAATCTGAATATCCACTGTGAACACCTTTGATTTCTGCATTATCCGCTGTTTTTACTTCTTTCTGGATATCTCAACTGGATCATGGACTCATGACAGCTCTCTCATGAAATGGCGCGCAACCTTTCAAATATCCGGCTTCTGATTGGCTATTCATACACCACTCTGATTGGTTGTCTTATATAAACTTTTCGGGATACAAACTAAAGATTAAAATGATTTTAAGAATAACAAAAAGACATAATATCAAGCACTGATCTCGATATTCACAATTCTGAAGTTTTCATGTCTCTGTACTTCTGTGCAAATTTTAAAATGCGCCAAGAAGAAAAAGTACAAATAAAGATAAATATTTCAAGATTCATTCTGGAAATTTCTTTGAGGCAAATCCCAACTGTGACAGGTTATTACCAGAAAGAGATGTGATGCCTATCATATCTATATCTTATTTATTTATTTATTCATTTTTATATCAGGATATAAAAGTTCTTAATAATATATATATTTATATGTTAGCTCTAGCTGGCCAAACGGCTGGATCGAATAGGCTGACATTTTTAAAGGGAATCCTTGAGTACCCCAGGGGTAACATACAGGGTGTCCCACGAAACATGACAGTATGCAGGACGACTTGAAGGTCGTCTTGATTTTTGATATAATTTGCTGCGTTTATTTGTCAACCTAATTTTAGAAGTAAATTTCTAGAGATAATAATCACAAAATTTCCCTTGTCCTGCCATTTCCAAAATGTGGTCTGCCATTTTTGTGCTTTCAATATTGCCCGAGATATGAAAAATTTCGTTCAGATTTCGACAATTTTGCTTTTATTTAACAAAATTGAAATCTGAACCAAACTCTTTATATCTCAGGTAATATTGAAAGCACAAAAAACGCAGACCACTTTTTGGAAATGCCAGGGCTAGGAGAATTATGTGATAATTGTTTCAAGAATCATACATGTTAAAGTAGATAGAAGACTAAATGTCACAAAGAAATTCAAATACCAAAGACGACTTTCAAGTCGTCTTCCTATTGTCATGTTTCGTGGGACACCCTGTAGGCTAAAATCGATTTTTTT